GCTACTTGGAAGGCTGAGGCGGAAGGATCGCCGGAGCCCAGCAGGTCGAGGCTGTGGTGGCCGGGAGCAGCCACTGCACTCCAGTCTGGGCGACAGAGTGAGACTCCAACTCAAAAAAAAAAATTAGCCGGGCATGGAGGTGCGCACCTATAGCTCCAGCTACTTGGCTAAGACAGAAGGATCGCCTTAGCCCAGCAAGTCAAGGCTGCAGTGGCTATGAGCATGCCACTGCATTCCAGGCTGGGCAACAGAGTGAGACTCCTACTCAAAAAATAAATAAATAAATAATAAAATAAAAATTTAAATCTACTTCTAGTCTAAATTATTTTAAATCTGGCCTTATTTTTTTCTAGGCTGTAGTTTCATATCTCTTTGGTTTTTAAAGTGTCTTAGAAACCAACCTGTTGTCAATAAGTAAAAGTTAGAAAATTAGGCAATATATATCCTGTTTCAAAAAACATATATTTCTAAGGTAGGCAATAATATTGATAGAAAAAAGTTTTTAAGCAGTTGACTCTGGAAGCTTGACCAAAAGGCAGTGTGGAAAAAGTCTAAAGTCTCACTGCAATCTATTTTCAACCTTCAGCTCAGGCAGCAGCTGAATATTTAGGACACTAAGTACACACTGGAGATAAAGCTGTTGTCCTAACAACAGAAGGAGTATTTAAATATTGCTTTGGTTGTATTTCAAAAAATGAAGTTAGAAAGGAAAGGAAAAATTGGATGGTAAGGAAGTGATATCTGTAGATGATACAAATTGTTACTTGTTCTTTGGTTCATACTCTGAAAGCAATTCTACTTTGGAACTATATCTAGACATCTAGATATATATATCAGCAAAGCTAATCTAAGGTTGTCTTTTGTAAGAAAGCCAAAAAATTTGTTTTACTTCTAATAAATCTTGATGTTTTTCAATTCTAATTTTTTTTTTTTTTTTTTTTTTTGAGTTGGAGTCTCACTCTGTCACCCAGACTTGAGTGCAGTAGCACACTCCTGGCCTCAACACAGCCTCAACCTGCTGGGCTCTGACGATCCTTCCGCCTCAGCCTTCCAGGTAGCTGGAATTACAGGCATGCTCTACCACACCCGGCTAATTTTTGATTTATTGTAGAGATGAGCTCTTGCCAAGTTGCCCAGGCGGGTCTTGAACCCGCGGGCTCAGGCAATCCATTCACCTCAGCCTCCCAAAACACTGGGATTACAGGCTGAGTCACCAAGCCCGGCTCAATACTAATTTTTTAAAAACAACTTTTGGGCTGGACTGTCAGCAAATCACTGGATTTTACTATAAAAGCCTCCCAGTATTCTCTATTATAAAAACAATGCTAAATGATTAACAGAATATAAATAATCTCTTTGAGGATAATGGCTGAAAATCAGTCACTTGTTTGGGATAGCTCACCTTTGTTTTTTTGAACTGGTAATCTTGAAACTCCTGAACAACCACAAATAAGTTATCAACTGACCTCAGACAGTGAACCTGGAGGGGGGGGAATGTTAGAAACAAACTTCAGAGAGAGTTTTTGAATAGCAGAAGTTATCCACAACTGAATATAAAAAAAGTTAGGCATAATTGCTTTAAAGCAGGTGCTACCTATATTTTATATCTTAAATTTTTCTCATCTCTCTAGCCTCCCTTCTCTTTCGGTTACCCATAAGATTCGGCTTTTCCCTAAGCTTGAAGTGTTTTGTGGGCAACATGTGTCTGGGGAAGAAGAGAAAGATGAAGACAATCATGTAGGGCTTCATCATATTTCCCTCATGGCTCTCTACATCGCAGCAATTAAGAGCAGGGGGTTTGACCTCTATCTCTGTGACTGATTACTGAGTGACCTTAGGCAAATAATTTATTTTTCCTAAGCGTAATGATTAATGAGGATAATAATGGTGTCTATCTTCACAAAGCTGCTGGGGGTATTAGCTAAAAAATTGGATGGAAATATTTACTTACCAATTAATCCCACACATATTTACTGGGTGAATACGATATAACAGACACTAAGAACTAGAGATATATTGGCAGGAAAAACAGACAACAATACCTGCCCTCTTGCTGTTTATGTGATAAGATATATCTTAGCTTTTCTTATAGTAGGATGGCAGGAATCTTGATTCCTAATTACTTTTGAGCCAGAACATCTTTAACACAAATAAAAAATCACTTTTATGCTTCATCACCAAAGGCTAAACACCTGCTAGATGCTGAGGAAAATAAAAGAAGTGTAGCAGATACTTAGAGAATATCTTCATAAGTCAAACATGATTCTTTTTGGTGAATTCAATCCTCAAGAAATACAAGGATCTTGTCTTAAAAAACAACAAACCAGCCAGGCATGGTGGCTCACGCCCACGGGTTCAAGACCAGCCTAGGCAACATGGCAAGACCTCGTCTCTATAATAAATCAGAAAGATTAGCTGGACATGGTGGCACACGTCTGTGGCTCCAGCCTCTTGGAAGGCTGTGGTGGAAGGATCGCCTGAACCCACCAAGTTGAGGCTGCAGTGGCCACAAGTGTGCCACTGCACTCCAGCCTGGGCGACAGAGTGAGAGTCCAACTCAGAAAAACAAACAAACAAAAAAACAACAAACTGGTCAGGTGTGGTAGCTCACACCTATAAACACAACATTTTGGGAGATGGAGGCGAGAGGATCACCTGAGTCCGGGAGTTTGAGACCAGCCTGGGCAACTTGGTAAGACCTCATCTCTACAATAAATCAAAAAATTAGCTGGGCGTGGTGGCGCACACTTGTAGTTCCAGCTGCTTTAAAGGCTGAGGTGGAAGAATCGCCTGGAACCAGCTGGTCGAGCCTGCGGTAGCCACGAGTGTGCCACTCTACTCCAGCTTGGGTGACAGAGTAAGATTCTGACTCAAACAAATCTATTACAGGTTGAGCACCCTAAATCTAAAAATCTGAAACTTTTTGAGCACCAGCAGAATGCTCACAGGTAATGCTCAGGGAAGCATTTTGAATTTCGGATTAGGGGTGCTGAACTGCTAAGTATAATGCAGATACTCCAAAATCCAAAAAAATCTGAAATCTAAACTCTTTGGATCCTAAGCATTTCAGGTAACAGAGACTCAACTTATAGTGAAACTCATAAATCAGTACCTGCCAGAAACTGCAGTAATACTTTAAATCACCTGAATTGAGGCAAACCAATGAAAATCAAAAAGGATTCCAAAGGGATCTGTAAACTGCAAAGTAACCATAAAATTACCAGTTTTGAAAATTATTTTAAATATTTCTTCATTCAAACCTGAGCCAGACTTTCCACTGAAATGACAAAATATATCTTGCCGCGGTCTCTGCTGATTTTGCATGATGACCCCAATTTCTCTCTCACTTCATCTGCAGCTGTTTGCTCAAAGCCTGTAGGTACAGTGGCTCCAATAGTGACTAGAAGTTCAGACTCACTTCCGAAGTCACTTTCTGTCACTTGTACACATCTCCGATTCTCATGAAGGTTCACATCTTGGAGCTGGTTAATGGATTCTTGGATGTCAGACATGTTGGTAGTGCTTTTAAGATTCCTAACACAGTCCCTTTAAAAGCAGTACCGGAAAGAAAAAGAAAGTCCAAATATTATCATGCCATATTTTAGTTATAATTTAAAACATTTGCTTTGGAGGGCAGGAAGAACAAGGCATCACAACTGATATAGCCATAATCAGTCAACACACCTAAGTATTCACCAAAGTTAAAAAGATTGAATAAATATGAGCAGAATGCAGGTTGGAAAACATTATGTTATTATTGAACAAGCAATGCCAGTACCATGGAAGAAAAGGAGACAGACAAAAAGTATTTCCTCATGTTTGGTTTGGGATCATCTATGTTGATAAAAGCCATCTTATAACTACAAGAGTTAACAGAGGCTGTAGAGCACCTTCAAATACATTCTGCACCTAGTCTTTTTAGCTAATGGTTAAGACTTTGGAGCTTCAGAAAGATACGGGTTTGAATTCTGAATGACCTAAGGCAAGCTAATTCTCCCAAGTCTCAAAATGGGAATACCACCTCTCTTAGAGTTGATGGGAGACTTAAGCAAGAGTAGCACACTGCTAAGCCAATAATTAAAACGTGTTAATAGGATATTTATCTTCCTCTCTTCTCTGAACAGCATTTCAAGCATTTAAAAATGATTATCTAATGACGACAAATATTTGAACTGCTATTTGCCAGGCTCTGGGCTTCACTGATGGGCATCAGGAGATTTCGGAATATTCGAAATAGTGAACCAAAATTTCCTAGCTGGGCATGTGTGCATTTGTGTGTGTTTGGGAGGGGGAGAGTTGAGAGGTGGGGGAAGACAGCTCTCGTCACATTTTCTTTTTTTTTTTAAGTCAGAGTCACGGTCACGCAGGCTGGAGTGCAGTGGCCGTAAGCCTGCCACTGCAATCTCGACCTGCTGGGCTCAGGCGATCCTTTCACCTCAGCCTTCCATGTAGCTGGGATCTACAGGAGCGCGCGCCACCATGCCCGGCTCATTTTTTGATTTATTGTAGAGACGAGGTATCGAAGCCCTGGCCTCAGGCAATCCTCTCACCTTCGCCCACTAAGTGTTGGGATTACAGGCGTGAGACACCGCACCCAGCATCTCATCAAATTTTCTAAACAACTTAAGTGGGCACAGAGTACTCACAATGAGCCAGGGACCTGCGACAGTGCTTAACACTAAGTCTCTGCCCTTAAGGCGCTCACGGTCCCTGTGAATACAATCTCCACTTTCTAAATAAGACAGTTGAAGCCGGCGAAAGGATGTGTCCTCCCCAAGGTCAGAGAGCCAATGAGTGACGCAAAATGGAATAGAACTCACTCTCGACTCCCCCCCGCCCCCCCGAGGCTCGCGGTTACAGGATCCCAGGAAGCGGGTAAAGGGCAGAGGGAGGCTCCGAAATGGGACCCGACGTGGGACCGGGCTGAGTACCGGACCCGGCGGAGGTTCGACCCGGCCTCAGCTTCGGCCGCCCCTCCCTCCCGAAGCCCAAGTGCCAGAGGAGCCACACCCAGCTACTCCCACCCGCCGCCCCGTTACCGGCCGTCAGTGTAGACCTGGCACTCGGTCGGCTTCGCGCTCTCAGGTCACGCAGCCGGAAGCCGCCTCACCACCCCCGGAAGCGGATGTCAGACCATGGGTCACGGAGGTTCTACGCTAGGGGCGGGCGCCCAGACGAGGTCATGAAGAAAGGAGCATGCGCACGAGTCTCCTGCGGTTGGCAATGGGGAATCCCTGCGAACTGAATGTGGAGAGTCCGAGCTTTGTGCCCTGTGATGGTGACAGCAAACATTTAGAGAGCGATTAGCCGTGCCAAGCGCTGGGTAAGCGCTTCACATGCATCATCTCATCTGGAGCCAATCTCATGTGGTCCAACATTTATGAGAAGCCAGGTGCCAAACCCCATTTTAAAGCTGGAGAAACTGAGTCTCAAAGAGGTTAAATATCTTTACCAAAATGTCATGCAGCTAGTTCCTGATTTGCATATTATCCTCACATTTTTGGACTATTGTTTACTTAATATTTTTTAAACATATGTGTATATGTATATATATATATTTTTTTTGTCTTGGAGTCACTCGCCCAGAATGGAGTGCAGTGGCACACTCACGGCCACCGCAGCCTCGACCTGCTACACTCCGGCGATCTTTCTGCCTCAGCCGTCCAAGTAGCTAGAACTACAGGTGTGCGCAGCTGGCTAATTTTTCTTGATTTATTGTAGTGATGAGGTCTCGCTAAGTGCCCAGGCTGGTCTCGAACTCTTGGGCTAAGGTAATCCTCTCGCCTTAGCCTCCCAAAATGAAAACTTAAAACTCAACACTAAAAGACAAATGATTTTAAAGTGGGCAAAGGACTTGAATAGATATTTCTCCAAAGACACACAAGTCCAATAAGTACATGAAAATATGCTCAACATCACTAGTCATTAAGGAAATACGAATTAATCACAATGAGATACCCATCAAAATGGCTAAAATGTTTTAAAAAATCAGAGCCGGGCTCGGTGGCTCAGCCTGTAATCCCGCGCCTTTGGGAGGCTGAGGTGAATGGATTACCTGAGCCCGCGGGTTCGAGACCCGCCTGGGCAACTTGGTGAGACCTCATCTCTACAATAAATCAAAGTGAGCCAGGCGTGGTAGCGCGCGCCTGTAGCTCCCGCCACTTGGGAGGCTGAGGCGGAAGGATCGCCGGAGCCCAGCAGGTCGCGGCTGCGGTGGCCGGCGGCGGCCAGGCACTCCAATCTGGGTGACAGAGTGAAACTCCAACTCAAAAAAAAAAAAAAAAAAAATCAACAGTTCCAGCTATACTGAGGATGTGAGGTAATGAAACACCTATTGCAGATGGGAATGCAAAATGGCATAGCTGGCTAGGTGCAGTGGCTCATGCCTGTTTTCCCAGCCTTTTTTCAAGATAATTGCCGAGCCTAGGAGTTGGAAACCTGCCTGGGCAACATAGCCAGACTTTGTCTCTACAAAAAAACTTTTTTTTTTTTTTTTGAGTTGGAGTCTCACTCGGCTGCCCAGACTGGAGTGCAGTGGCCGCTCCCGGCCACCACAACCTCGACCTGCTGGGCTCCGGCAATCCTTCCAACTCAGCCTTCCGAGTAGCCAGAACTACAGGCGTGCACTACCACGCCCGGCTGATTTTTTTTTAAATTTATTGTAGAGATGAGGTCGCGCCAAATTGGCCGGGTCAGTCTCGAACCCGCGGGCTCAGGCAATCCACTCACCTCGGCCTCCCAAAGCACTGGGATTACAGGCTGAGCCACCGAGCCTGGCCCAAAAAAACTTTTTTAATGAGCCAAGAGTAGTGGTGCCCGCCTACAGTCTAAACTACTTGGGAGACTGAGGCAGAGAGACAGCTTGAGACTGGGAAATAGAGGCAGTGGCAAGCCAGGAATCACATCACTGCACTCCAGTCTGAACTAGAGAGACCCTGATTCAAAAAAAAAAAAAAAACAAGCCAGGCACAGTTGCTCAAGCCTGCAATCCCAGCATTTTGGGAGGGCGAGGTGAGAGGACTGCCTGAGCTCAGGGGTTCGAGACCAGCCCGGGCAACTTGGTGAGACCTCATCTCTAAAATAAGCCAAAAAATAAGCCGGACATGGTAGCGCGTGCCTGTACTTCCAGCTACTTGGAAGGCTGAGACAGAAGGATCACCTGAGCCCAGCAGGTCGAGGTTGTGGTGGCAGTGAGCATGCCACTGCACTCCAGTCTGGGAGACAGACTGAGACTCCAACTCAAAAAAAAAAAAAAAAAAAGCATAGTTAATTGGAAAAGTTTAGGCTTTCCTTGAAAAGTTAAGCATAGTGCCAGGCACAGTGGCTCACCCTTGTAATCCCAGCACTTTGAGAGGTGGAAGTGAGAGGATTGCCTTGAGTCCAGGGGTTGGAGACCAGCCTGGGCAACTTGGCAAGACCTTGTCTCTACAATAAATAAAAAAATTAGCCAGGTATGGTGGCGCATGCCTGTAGTTCCATCTACTTGGAAGGCTGAGGGGGAAGGATCACCTGAGCCCAGCAGGTCAAGGCTGCAGAGGCTGTGAGCGTGCCACTACACTTTAACCTAGGCAAAACAGTGAGATTCTGGTTAAAAAACAGAAACAAGAATAACAACAAAAGAGATGTTCAAACAAAAACTTATACAAACCAGGTGTGCTGACTCATGTCTGTAATTCTGGTGACTCGAGAGAAGGAGGCAGGAAGATTACTTGAGTCCAGGAGAATAAGACTGCAGTGAGCTGTGATCACACCACTGCATTTCAGCCCGGGTAACAGAGCAAGACCCTGCCTCTAAAAACTGAAACGAAAACTATATGTACACAAATGTGCTTAGCAGGAGGCTGCCAGACATCCCCTTCAGGCATGGAAATAAAGGAAAATCTTGAGTTCTTTCGAGGGAAAGTCAAAACACCCAGTTAGCCTTGAGAAGTAAATAAGCAAGAAGTAAAAGCTTAAATCAATAGCCAGCCAGGCACAGTGGCTCATGCCTGTAATACCAGCACTTTGGGGGGCTGAGGCAAGAAGATTGTCTGTGCCCAGGGACCCGAGAGCAGCCTGGGCGAGACCTCGATGCTACAATAAATCAAGAAAAATTGCCAGGGGTGCGCTTCCAGCTACTTGGAAAGCTGAGGCAGAAGGATCACCTAAACCCCGCAGATCAGGGCTGCAGTGGCCATGAGTGTGCCACCACACTCCAGCCTAGTTGACAGAGTAAGACTCCAACTCAAAAAACAAACAAAAAAACCAGCCAAATAAGTTAGCGCCACAAAATGTTTGGCTCCTTATAGCAACTAAAAATATCATCTTAACAAAAGTCACTGAATTGTTTTTCATAAAGCCAGATTCCCACCAAATGAAGAATAACCCTCTTCTGACAAGTAGACCTCAGATAAGAGGGAACTAAGGACTGAAAACTGACCACCATTCTTTGTTCTAAATTCTTCCTGAAGGGCCAGGAAGAAGCCATGCCCACAGGCCAAAAATTAACATTTCTATCTTCTGATACCAAAGTTTTAGACAAAGCTTTGCCTCCTTAACCAGTCATAAATCTAAGAATCTTTGAATCCACTTATGATCTGTGGGGTCCCACTCCAAGATGTCTTACCTTTTTAGGTCAAACCATGTATGATCTCCATGTATTGATTTATGACTTTGCCCGTAACCACTGCTCCCTCACCTTTAAAAACCCTTACTTGTCAGCTAGTGGGGAGTTTGGGCGTTAAGTACGAACTATCTAATTCTTCTTGCTTGGCATTCAGCAATAAATGTCTCACTTTCTCTCGCTGCAAATCCAAATCCCGATGTCAGTGTTTGGCTTTGCTGTGCTGTGGTAACAGCAGCATTGTGGAAAATAAGAATGGCGATTTATTTTCAAATTGGAACCTAGCTTATATTGGTCTCTCAAGATGATGTCTAAATGTTTTGTGCTTCTTTTTTGCTGATTCACTTCCTGCTTCTTTGTGCTTCCTTTTCATGGACTTTTTTCTTTAGTAGGTTTCATGTTTAAACTTTTGGTGGGATCCAAACAGAATGGTAATTCTGTAAGCAAATTGGCAAATAGGACACGCAAATGAAGTGATTCTGTAAGTCAATCAAAATGTGTCACATAGCCGCTGTACAGGAAAGACTGTAACTTCTGCAGTGCTCAGCCAGAGGAGAACCAGGAGAGGAACCTGCGTTTTAGGGGTAAAAATAATGGTTCTTCCTGCTTTGGTATGCCTGTTCACCCAAGAGACACCCATTCTTGCAAGAATGATATTAAAAGAGCTGCTTCACTCCACGGATCTCTGAGTCTCCATGTTGTTCTTTTTTTTTTTGAGTTGGAGTCTCACTCTGTCGCCCAGACTGGAGTACAGTGGCACGCTCACAGCCACCCCAGCATCCCCTCCTGGGCTCTGGCAATCCTTCCGCCTCAGCCTTCCAAGTAGCTGGAACTACAGGCACGCACTACCACGCCCGGCTAATTTTTTATTTATTGTAGAGACGAGGTCTCACCAAGTTGCCCAGGTTGGTCTCGAACCTGAAGGTTCAGGCAATCCACTTGCCTCAGCCTCCCAAAGTGCTGGGATTACAGGCTGAGCCTCTGAGCCCAGCCCATGTCATTCTTTAATGATTAAACTGAGGAGAGTTGATTCTGTCTCCCTGAAGCATTATACATTTAGCTAAGAAGTGAAAACAGCTGAAATATTCATCAACTAATGAAGAGACAAACAAATGTGTCACATCTATACAGTGGAATATTATTCAGTCATAAAAACAAATGAAGTGTTGTGATAATATGATCTATTGGTTTTCATCCACAGTTCCTGGCTCATAACTCCCCAACACTTGTTACAGTAAACAGAATCAATCTCTCTCTCTCTCTCTCTCTCTCTCTCTCTCTCTCTCTCTCACTCTCCCCCCCCC